ATACAAGATTTGTAAAGGTTTTCTTTCTTTTCCCTACTTTTTCCTTTCAAACCAAACACATCCTTAAATAAAGCAATCCATAAATGGCCCATTGATTACAATGGACTGAATATGCTGAATGGGTTGAATGAGCTTAATGGGCAGAATGATTTCATCTCTATGACGCAGGACTATGAATCCATTACAATGCACATCATCAGAGCTCCAAACACCACTTAAATAAAGCAACTTTCGTAATCCTACAATGAAAGTATGAAACATAGCTGTCGAGTTTGGACTATGGCTTTGTGGGATTTGCCTTGAACACTACATCTCACCTAACACTCTGTCATATTTCCAATTTTCAAATTCTCTCTTACCCATGTGAGATATATAAATGGCCCATTGCTTCTAATAGTCAAAATGTGACCCTATGGATGGATTTCTTTATGCAGCTAATTTGACTTCATCTCAAATTCACATTTCAAATGGGTCAGAAGTATGAAGCGTGATAAAAAAAAGGGTCAGAAGTGGTTCCTGGTTTTGTTAGAGCCACTGTTTTGAGGAAGTGGAATTGTTGATCCTAAAATGTCTGAACTTGACCCTAGAGCTCAAGTTCTTAGCTCAAATGGATCAGAAGTAGCTCCTGGTTTTGTTGGTTTACAAGGAGCTACTGTTTTGAGAAACTGGAATCATTTGAGTCCCAAAAGAAACTATATCTTGACCTCATTTTATCTAATATTTTCTTTATTTTGTAGGTATAACATATTAAAATATCGTCAACTGTCAAGAAAGAAGAGTAATCTCAGAGTAATCTTAATAAAAGAATAGATAACATGTGCAGCAGAATTAATTAAGTCAATATATAGAATGACTGTTGCTACTCCGTAAAGAAAGGAGGTGCATGGCATAGTCAACTTCCTATGAATTTTTGTTTTTTGGTAATAAGATAAAGGGTAAATTGTATATCAGTACTCTGTATTTTGGATTGTCTCATTTTATTTAAACTTTAAAATGTATGCCAGATAGTCTGACAGTCCGATCCGCACCCCGATCGGGCTTGGACATGTAGTTAGGCGTGCGGGCCTGAGATTGTGTTTTGGGCCGGGTTCAGGATTTTTCAAAAAAGCCTGGCCTGGCCCGATTAATTTATATAATATAAAATATATAATATTTATTATAATATATATTAATAATTTAATATATACATTTTTTTATTTTTTCTTTATAATTTCTCTCTTTCTCTCTATTCAGCCGCTTCAGCGATAACAGTGGTAACAAGTTGAGCTTTAGACTTCGGGCTCGGGCACAAGCCCGGGCTTTGGGCTTTTTATGAGGGATGGGCTCAGGCCCAGATTGTAGGCCCTCTAGTCAGGTCGGGCTTAGGCTCAGGCCTTAAAAAAATCTGTTAATGAAAAGTGAAAGCCCAACCCGAATTCAGCCTGACCCATGAATAGCTCAAATCATAATAATACCTAAACTCCCGAAAACTGTCACTTTAGTCCAATACCATTAACAGATGTTACAATGGATAGTAAAATTATCAAATTGTCCTTTGTTATCATAAACAATCAAATATGTTTACATAACCAACGAATTGGTCTCTTCTATACATTGGCAGATGAGGAGCACCGAGTATCCTTGTACTTGCATGTCGTTGATGAGTTGGTCTCTTCTATACTATATCAAGGGACTCTCTCCATTCTCCTAGAATTGTCAAGTGTCAAGTCAAGGGCATCTTCCAGAGGTGGATTGGTGGTGGGTTTAGGACTTTTCTCACTATTGTTCTGGTTTAATCTCGAGAAAGAAGATGATGTTTTAAAAGGTAATTTTGGGTAAAAGTTTTTTAAATTGCGTGTGAGATAACTAATAGAATGCTAATGGCAAAGCCTAAAGTGGCGGTTTTTGGAAGTTTAGGCCTTGCCATTAGTATGTTTTAAAGTTTGGGGCCTAAAGTGAGATTACTCCCAAACTACAGGGTACTAATCTGTAATTTACCTTAAATAAAATGAAATCAATGAGCCTATGGATTGACTAATAGTTTTTGTTTTTTATTTTCCTTTCTCTTTCCAAAGGCTGTGTTTATTTGCAAAGAGGAAGAATAAAATACTTGTCGCCTAGCTTGTGGGATTTGCAATAATAGAAACCCAAATGTTTCAAACTTTTTGCAAGGTTTCATTGAAATTTTGAAATGTGGGCCCTACTAGATTGTGGATTTGGATTTAATCTAAGCAAATAAAGATTAAAAAAAACTAAAGAAGTTTAGGGTAAAAGACTTAAACCTTCCTTCACTTTTATTTTAAATATTGAAATCACCCCTCTCTTTTTAAATTGTGACTCTTATCCTTGTGACTCTTATCCTTCATTTGGAGTGCTTATTGAATAAGTGCTTAAAAACAATAAGCACTTGTGACTCTTATCCTTCATTTTCTTTCAAATTTTCAAAATATATATACCATGAGTTTTTCAAAACTTATGTGGTGGTGGACACATCAGTTGGAAATTTGGGTGGTGGTTCATGGGATGGTGTTGCTGGAATTGACAACCGGAAGGGAAACAGGTGGCGGAGATGAGGATACATGTCTCGCACAATGGGCCTGGCGACACCCATTGTGGATGCTTTGGACAAGTAGATCAGAGAAGCTTGTTATTTGGATGAAATGAGCATCATGTTCAAACTCGGCTTCGAAGGTGGGAAAAGGTGAGTATGATGTTTTTCCCCTGCTCAGTATTGCTAAGTACATCCAGTTACAAGGACAGTCGGAGCGGTAGGAGGACATTCGACAATGATATTTTGTCATATAACATATGATCACCACCTAGTGGCCCATTACTGCTTTCATCACTAGAGTTGCACTCTCCAACAGTTGTCCGAGGACAATTGGCCAAGCAATCCAGTTTCGCCGCTGGTTGCAGAAGGCAAAGGAGAAGAAAGCCTCGATGTGTCAAACCCTATGTTTTTACCTTTGAAGGGCATAATTGAAAATTTTGAAAATAAATGGGGACAGTATTGGTAGAGAAAATTTGAATAAGTTCTTATTGTTTAAGCACTTAAAAAAACTGGAAATTTAGCCTATTGTTTAAGCATTTATTTTGAGCTTATTTCCCAAACATCAATAAGTGCTTAATGTGTTTCTCTCTCCCTCTCTCTCTCTCTCTCATAATTGAGATCTATTTTTTCTCTTAGTTTCTTTATGTTTCTCAGGTCTCATATTTGAGATCTTGATTCTCTTTCAATTCCTCCCCCCCTCTCACAGATATGAGATCTAGTTTCAGTCCCTCTTCTATCTCTCTGCTTCCTTAAAAAGTTTAAATAGTCTTTTTATTAAACCATAAATGCTTCTTCAGCAGAAGAAAGCCCTGATGTGTCAAACCCTATGTTTTTACCTTTGAAGGGCATAATTGAAAAATTTGAAAATAAATGGGGACAGTTTTGGTAGAAAAATTCGAGTAAGTTCTTATTGTTTAAGCACTTAAAAAAACTGGAAATTTGAGCCTATTGTTTAAGCACTTATTTTGAGCTTATTTCCCAAACATCAATAAGTGTTTAATGTGTTTCTCTCTCTCATAATTGAGATCTCTTTTTTCTCTTAGTTTCTTTATGTTTCTCAGGTCTCATATTTGAGATCTTGATTCTCTTTCAATTCCTCCCCCCCCCTCTCACAGATCTCAATGACCTCATCAGATATGAGATCTAGTTTCAGTCCCTCTTCTATCTCTCTGCTTCCTTAAAAAGTTTAAATAGTCTTTTTATTAAACCATAAATGCTTCTTCAGCAGAAGATTCTACCCAACTTCACAATCTCACTCAACAATATCATTATTGTCTTTCAAAAAGGAGCAACTATGGAGGCTGAAATCCCGAGAATTGTGGCTCAAGGATGGCAATAGAAGTACTAGGTTCTTCCATCACATAACTAATCAAAAGAACATGAGAAACAAAATACAATTGATGAAATGACAAGATGATACTTGGACTTCTGATGAAGCTAAAATTGTAGAACTCCTCAAGAATGCCATTCTCAATGTAGAGGGTGTAATTGAAAATTTTGATCCATCATTATTGGCCAGTATCGCTCTACCTCAACTCCTCCCTAATCATGTGTACTCCCTTCTAGAGCCTCCCACATTTGAGGAGATCACCACAATAGTGAAGTAGATGGACCCTCATAAGGCCCTAGGACTAGATGGTTACACAACCTTCTTCTATCATCATATTTGGAGTCTCATTGGTTTGTATGTGTATAACATGGTGCTTCATTTCTTTACAACTGAGCACATGCCTAAAGAAATCAATAATACCAACTTAGTCTTGATACCAAAAAATCAGCTCCTAGTGGGTCCCTCAAGTTTCAAGCCAATTACTCTATGCAATGTGCTCTACAATATGATTTCTAAATTGTTAGTTTCAATTATGTATTCATTTCTTTAAGATATCATATCTCTTTCCTAGTTGATAAAGGATAAGCAAAGATGATAGTGGAGAAACAGAGACAAAGGAGAATGAATAATTTGTAAAGAATTGTGTATCAAATTGTTGTGTTTCTATACAAGGGCATAGGTAAATATATATACAACTGGGTTGTACAAAAGAAGGAAACAGTACAAAAGGAAACTAGATCAAATCTAGATCCAATCTGTGATTACTGTAATCACGACTAGATCCAATTCTGTGATTATAGTAATCACATCAAGACAATCAATATCATATCTTAACATCCCCCCTCAAACTCAAAGTGGTGCAGTAGAACAAATGTTGAGTTTGGAAGTTAGTTCTTGGAAATGCCCTAGTGAGTGAGCTTTAGTGAAGATGTCTGCGATCTAGTCCATAGAAGAAATAGATACAAGATGCACAGTGCCATTTTGAATATGTGGTCTAATAAAGTGACAATCTGTTTCAATATGTTTAGTGCGTTCATGAAAGACATCATTATGGGCAATCTGAATTGCACTGCAATTGTCACAATAAAGTGTAGTTGGAACATGGTCCTTGATTCCCATATCTTCTAATAACCATCGAAGCTAAATAAGTTCAGTAGTGGTGTTTGCAATTACTTTGCATTCAACCTCAGTGTTGGATCGAGAAACAACAATTTGTTTCTTACTATGCCAAGAAATAGGAGAATTACCCAAAAGAAAACAATAGCCAGTTGTTGAACGTCTATCAGTGGGATCACTAGCCCAATCGACATCTGAATAAGCACTCAATTGTATAAAAGAATTAGTAGCAAAGTGCAGTACATAAAAAAGAGTACCCTTGATATAATGGAGAATGTGAAGGACCGTTGCATAATGATTGGAGCGAGGAGCTGTCATAAATTGACTGACAATATGAACTATATGGGCAATGTCTGGACGAGTAATAGTAAGATATACAAGACTTCCAACAAGTTTTTTGTAGAGTGTGGGATCAGAAAGAGGTGTGCCATCAGTGGGGATTAGTTTGGCATTAGTCTCCAGTGGCATAGAGGTGGTCTTATTATTTGTTAATCCAACTTGAGAAATGAGATCAGATGCATATTTAGCTTGAGATAAATAATACCCATCAAGTCTGGTCGTAACTTCAAAGCCTAAAAAATAATTGAGTAGACCCAAGCCTTTCATTTCAAATTCTTGGCTAAGGTGCATTTTGAGTTCATGGATACTAGAAGTATCACCTCCAGTAATGATCATGTCGTCCACATAGAGTAATAGCAGTTTTAAACCTCTATCAGACTTTCGAATAAAAAGAACTGAATCATAGGAATTGGAGGTAAAGTCAAACTGAGATATAGTAGCACTAAATTTTGAAAACCATGCACGAGGAGCCTACTTAAGACCATACAAAGCACGACGAAGGTGACACACTTTATCAGGTGGGTGAGAATAATCGGGCGGCAGCTGCATATATACCTCTTTTGTAAAATCATCATTAAGAAATACATTTTTCACATCCATCTGAAACAATTTCCATTGATGTGTTGCAACAACTGCAGTTAAACTCTTTACAGAAGTAAGTCGAGTAACAGGGGCAAACGTCTCATCATAATCAATGCCATACTCTTGAGTGAATCCTTTAGCAATAAGTCATGCTTTATAGCATTCAACTAAGCCATCAGAACGAGTCTTAATTTTATAGACCCATTTACAACCCACTATTGATTTATCGGGAGATAAATCAACAAGATCCCAAATACCCATTTTTTCTAAGGCTCATATTTTGTCTGCCATTGCTTGTTACCAAAGAGGATCAGAATTGGCCTCGTGAAAGGTACGAGGTTCATATAGAGAACTGATGGCAAAAAAACAATGATAATCATGGAGATGACTAGGAAGTTTGCTTACCCTTGTAGAATGACATTAATCCATTTATGCATTTCTACTTCTTTCTTCTCCATCAAGATGATCGATCAAGCTTATGATCGCTTCCATTTTCAAAGAGGACTCGGATAAGGTGATCTATTATCACCTTACTTGTTCATCATAAGAATGGAGGTTCTCAATCAACTTTTGCATCAAGCATTCAATTCAGGCAATATAAAATGTGCGAAGCTATGTAGGCAAGGTACTACAACTACTCACTTATTTTATTTTTTTGATGATTGCATTATATTTTGCAAAAACAAACTTAACACAAGTCAAAGCTCTCACCCAAGTTCTTAAGTCCTTTGAAGAACTCTCAGGACAACATATCAACTACGATACATCCAATGTGATGTTTAGTAGAAATGTCCCGAGACAACACCAAAAATTCCTTTCTCAAGACATCAAAGTCAAAAAACCATTGTGGGGATCTAAGTACCCGGGATCCAAATTAACATTAAATACCAAATGTCAGATTGCCCATCAAGAATTGTTGGACCACATACAATCAAAGTTGAATGCTTTGAGCTTAAAGCTCCTCTCTCAAGCTGGAAGGACAAACTTTTGTCGAGTCAGTTATACAATCAATACCAATATACTCCATGGCAACTACTCTTCTCCCTAATAAAGTCCTTCAACAAGGAATTTTTCTCATGGCATAAATTAGGCCTTTCTAAATCAGCTGGTGGTCTAGGCTTCAGACAATACATACCCATAAATAAAGCGATTTTCAGCAAGAAAATTTGGAGGTTGCTTTCATACAGTACCAGTCCATGGTGTCAACTCATAAAGGAAAAATATTTTTCTAATCACTCTATCTTCACAGAAAATAAAGGAAAGCAAAACTCACTATGGTGGAAGCAAGCCCATGGCTCAATTCAGGAATTAAAACCCAACATCTTATGGTTAATTAGTCAAAAATGGTGAACTCATTTCAGCACTTCATGATCCTTGGATGCCAACCATTAAAGGAGGGGTTCCAAATCCAAGAAATAATGCACCTCACCATCTACTAAATCTCAAAGTTGAAGATTTGCTTCATCTAGATGGATGTTGGAATTTACAAATTTTAAATCAACTCTTTGAGCCAGCTTCTATATATCATATTACTTTGACACCAATTCAAATGGATAGAGGTAATGACACTGTGGTGTGGAAGAGGAATAACTTAGGCACTTACACAGTAAAATCAGCATATAGATCTTTTCAAGTGCCTTGCCATCTTCATCATCTACCCATTTCAACTGCAATCTATTGTGGAAGCTTAAGATTCCCTATCATTTCCAAGTTCTTGCTTGGAAAGCACTATGGGATGGACTATTAGTTAAAGCAAAATGCTCCAAATGGATTCCAATACAAGATCAGACTGTAAGTCACAGTTGGAGACCTTTCAACAACTAATTTTTTTCATGCCCTTTCTCAAGAGCTGTTTGTTGTAGTGCACAAATTGGCAGTAACCCAAAATTGGCTTAGGGAAAGCCCTTTCATCAGTTTCTACAGGAATGGATAAACTCCTTGAGATCACATTACAACAAACCAGAAATCTCTGACTTCTTCAGATAATTCTGTATTCTCTTATATCTAATTTGGGAAGCAAGGAATAAATTGGTTTTTGAAAACTCAAAATCATCACTAATGGATGTCATTCACAAAGCTTCAACTTATGTTATTAGTGAAAGCACCTCTACTCAAGATCGAACATGGCCGAACCCAACTATAGCGAATACATGAGATCATGTCTTAATCCACATTGATGGTTCTTATGACCCGCTTACAGGTTCTACAGGTCTCGCCTTCATCCTCCAATGCACTTCCACCAAGTTAACCATTCTCAAAGGAAAGCCAAGTTGGGCCGCAGACAGCTATGATGCTGAACTCAAAGCCTTATTAAGTGCCTTGGAAGCAGCATGGTAACCTTATTAAGTTGATTATTCACTCTAACTCTCAAAAACTCATAAACCTTTTGAACAGCTGGAGCAATCTTATGAAATGGATAAAGCAATTCCATTGGTCTCACACATTGTTTTCACCCTATCGTTGACCCAGTTGGTAGAATCATTCGAACTGTCACTTGGTGGAGATTTCAGGTCCTGTTCAAGTAAAACCCATAGAAATGCCAAAAACCGTTGATTTTGTTAAAAACCATCTGACCCAGACAGTTGGACTGTTGACCCAGTCGACCTAGTGACCAGATCGTGGGTTACATGTTAACTGTATATGCAAACTTTGAGAAGTCATAACTTTACATTCCGCCGATCAAACCACTGACCCATGCCTCCGAGGCAAAAATTCTGCCTCCAGGTCGGTCTTGTGGCTACCAGCTACAATTCTGTACTCTTAAATGTCATGTTCAATGTTTTAATGAATGAAGCTGATTTCTTTTTTTTTTTTGCCATAAAAAAGTTCTATGCATTTAAAGCCCAAAAGCACAAAACCCCAATTTGTGCCGGAGGGCTTCCCGTGGCAGCTGTTGGCTACTTGCCTTTGAATAAGCATCAGCACCCCACAGCCCATCCTAACTGGAAACATCTCCCCAAAACAAGTATTGGAGATGCTCCTGTGGGGTGTGTCTAGTGGGGCGCCAATCCTATCTCCTTGGCTTTACAAAGGTGGGCCCCACCCAGACAACAAATAAGTAACGTTTGGTAAAGAAGAACTGGAAATCCCCAATTGGATGTCATTCAGCCAAAAAGAAAGGTTTCTTCTAATGTCTTTTCCAAAGCAGCTCAACTAAAGCTTAGGCCATTCCAAAAAGGTTCTTAGGTATGTATTTAGGAGCTTACAAGTGTTTTGGCTTTATACGTTTCAAAAACAATTCTTACCAGACTCTCAAAACACTTTTTTATTCAAATTTATTTCTAAGCCCAAAGTTAAAAAACAAAAAAAAAAAAAAACAAAAAGCTTATCCAAAAAGTGCTTTTCGTGATGTAAATAATGCCAAAGAATATATGAGGCAACTCCGTTGTGGCATAAAGAGATTTTTTTTGGGAGAGAAAAGGAAAAGGAAATAGCAGAATAAGAAAGGGTGTCTGAAAGAGACCATCTTAGTGTTGAGTAATCAATGAGAAGACAACAAAGTGGAAGAAGATAAGGAAGATAGAGAATTCTCCATCAAGATGATTAGGATGTAAAAGGGTGCAGGTTCAAAGTTTGCAATCATTCATTTCAGTTATCTCTCTCTTCACCAATGCTTTCCCACTTAGATGGATGTCTATGTATTCTTTTGCTCTTCCGGTTTTCCCTTTCCAAGGGTGCAAATTATGCAGGAATTTTTTATAAGTCCAACTATGCATGATTCTGATTCAAAGAAGGCGCCTTGTGTTTTGTTTTGTTTTGTTTTGAGTGAGTTTATCTTTTTCACAGTATGAAAATAAGGTGAACTTGTTTGACTAGAAATAAGTGTCGGAATTCAGCCAAAAGAGGCGGGCCCATAAACAGATAGGATTAGCAGAGTCAATTCCCACTTGCCCAGTTTGTCAAAAAGGTGGGCCACCCAGAGCCCACAAGTTGAAGTGGTCTAAACCCTGCAGTCGCAGGTTGCCCAAACCCAAAACAAGTCATGCCATGTCTTAAGTTTTTAAGACTTTCATCTCTACTCATTAACTCACCACCATCAACTTTCTCTTTCTCATTAATTCTTTTGATTCTCTCTCCTCATTAATCATTCTATTAACTCTCCCTCTTTCTCTTTCAATAACTCACTGAACTAATTCTCTCTCTTCTTAAATTTCACCATTAAATTGCACTTTTCTTTTTTTTTATTCTCTCTCCTCTCATCATTAATAAACCAAAAGCAATTTATTTAGGGGTGATCATTTTAGTCCAGTCCAAGCCCAGGCCCCATAAGGCCCACAAATTTCAAGGCCAAGTTGGGCCTAATACTTCAAGGTTGGTTTCTAAAGTAGTTCCCACCCCTTCCATCATTAACCTATTTTAGCATATTCTATAGGTCACTTCTATTATTAGTCTATTGTATTCCAAAGAGAGAGAATTTTAATCTCATCTAAATTTTTATTTCTTATTTAAATTCTATTTAATTAGTTAATTGTCAAAAAATTATAATTTGAAACCTAATAACTAAAATTAATAAAAAAAATACTAAAGTTAATAAACATATTAAATTTTAGCAAGTTTTTATCTAGCATACATTAAAAATTAAGAAATTAATAAAAATTAATAGTTCATAAATTAAAAATTTAAATACATTTGAATTCTATTATAAAATAATTAATATTGATAGGCTAATTAAAATTAATAATTAAAAGTAACAAAATACAAAAGTAATAAAACAAACCATTTACCTTCCATATAAAAATTAATTAAAAAAATAAAACTAATAATGACCCAAATAGAAATGTCATATAACTCCCTCTACTTAGGGATTATCATTTATAACTTATCCCGACCTGGCTAGACCTATAAATTTTTGGGCTCAAGTAACTATTTTCTTTTGAGCTAGGTCTAGGTAGCTCGGATCTACACCAAACCCACACATAATGCAAGCAATATGGTTGTAAATGGATCTACATCCGCATCTATATCTAATTATTATGTTGGATTTTGTATTTAAATTGCAATCATCTTATTGTGTTTAAAATGACCAAAAAATTAAAATAGTTTAAAAAACTAATTACTTTTAAAGCATATATGTGTGATAGATGTATATGAATATAAAATATTAAATTTATCAATTATAAATTTTATATAACTATGCATAGTATCTATACATACATAATTATATAACGTATATACATAAAATAATATTTTTTATCAAAAAATGTAACCTTTGGTCATTAATAAAGTAAAATAAATAAAATAGGACACTAACAAATAATATA